CCCGTCGCCAGCCCTGCATGCCTGGCACTCTCCCCTGTTGCTGGACCCATCTCTTTCTCCCCCACTCTGTCTCATACACTCATCTGTCCACCTCAAGGGGTCCCCATGCCTTGTTCAAGTGAACACACTGGCTACGAATCACCAGGACTGCGTGTTTCCCATCTGGGTCTCCTGACCTGGAGGCTGAGAGAGAGAGAGATTTCCCCTATTTCCGCCTACCAGCCCCCTTTTATGGTTGGGGACTGAAGGAGAGGAGAGGAGACGAGACGTTTTCCACAGGGCCGGACAGCGAGAACAGGACTGGAGCCTCCAGAGCAGGAGAGAGATGAAGGCAGAGGGGAGCTATGCCCTGAAGTGAGGTCTCCCAGGTGGCGTGTTAGACCTAGAGAAGTAGCACTAAGACGTGTTCACAAGTCTCCGCTCCGCCACTGTTTTGGGGTTTTCTGTTTGTCTGTTTTTAAGTCAGGGTCTCGCTCTGTCATCCAGGCTAGAATGCGGCAACACGATCATGGCTCGACACAGCCTCGACCTCCTGGGCTCTGTTGAGCCTCCTGCCTCAGTTTCCCTCCTGCCCCAAATAGCTGGGACTACAGGCACATACCACCACACCTGGATCAGTTTTTTGAGTTTTTAGTAGAGATAGGGTCTCACTATGTTGCCTAGGCTGGACTCGACCTCCTGGGCTCGAGCAATCCTCCCACCTTGGCCTCCCAAAGTTCTGGGATTACAGACCTGAGCCATCATGCCCAGTCCCCTCTCCTCCTTTGTTTCTCTCTGTCCTTGGGTTGTCCTTGGTGATTTTGTATCGCTGTCCTGTCTTTGTCTTCATGGAGGCTGACATTTTGGGTGGAGCTGGCCCCTACCCACTGGTGGCTTCCCCCGTCTCTCCACCCCACTGCTTCCTAGAGACCCTCTCCCATCTTTCACCCCAGCCCTAGCCTGGTGCTACCTCGGGATGCTGCTGGAGAGGAAGGACACCTTCTCCACCACCCCCATGGGCGTCCACGACTGCGGGTACTCGGGAACCCACCCTCTGGACTGCTTTGGCAAGGTGCGTGCCCGTAGCCACACCTGCCCACCAAGCTGGCGAGGAGCCAGGGCCCGGCCTCTCCTTCCAGAATCCACTTCCCTGGGCATCATCCCCCACCGAGTGGCCCCCCCAGGAAGTACACTTCCTCTAGACCTGTCTTTCCATCCTCTTCATTCGGAACAAAAGTGCTCCCTCATCGCCGTTGCTCTTCGTCCAAGACTGAGTCCCTCCTCACACCCAATCTGGCACAAGCTCATTCCTCCAGCCTTGAAATAGACCCTCGGGCTCCTTCCCTTGAGGCCTTTGTTATTATTCCCTCTGCTGGGAGTTTTCTCCCTGCCCAACCCCAATGGTGCCTCCCCGGGGCTTTCTGCTCCTGGGCCTTCCTGCTCAGTGGAAAGAAGGTGGGTTTAGTGGGGTCTCCTGGCCAGCTCTGCCTGCAGGCCATGAGACCCTAAGGCAAGTCACTTAGAACAGGTAGCAGTCCATAACAACAGCAGGGTAGGTGACGGGACCCAGGTGGAAGGCTTTGCTGGACAAAACTAGTGACCGTGGCAGTGAGCCAGCCTCTCAGGGGTCAGGTGCCAGCGGGTTGTGTCCCAAAGTGTTGGGTTCCGTGACATGATGGAACTTCCTGGTAGGTGGATAAGTACGCCGTGGTGATGTGGTTCCATCCAGACACCAGGTTCCTGTGGTTCTGGCACTGCTCAGCCAGGTCTGGTAAACCAAGCAAGTGGTTTCTCTCGCCCTCCTCCCTTCCCTAGGCCATCGAGATTGCCAAAGACCAGCCTCTCATCCTGAATCATCTGGCCAGAATCTTCCACTTTCTGGGAAAGCAGGATATGGCCATTGGAACCTGCAACATGGCCCTGGACATCGTGCGAGACCCGGAGCTCAACTGGCAGGCATACTGCACAAGGGCCAAGGTGGGTCAGCCGGCAGCCCCAGCTCATGTTGCCATTGGGAGCCAGTCGACAAGGCCAAGACCCTGCTGTCAGGGGCCTGGGGTCATGGAGCCTTCATGGTGGAAGGCACCTCAAGGGGCATCGAGAAACAGTTGTGTTCTGGAAGGCTCTGAGTGAAAGAGTGAAGAAGCCTCTGCCCTTGAGGCCTGGTCAGGGAGCTGCCACCTCTTCTGGATGAGCTCGGGTGGAGTCACTCTGAGCTGAAATCCGGCCCCTCCAGCTATGGCTGTGGGACTGGCAGCAAGCCACTGACCCCTGCACACCTCAGTTGCCAGGTCTCTATGATACTGGTAATGACTACTATCGGCCGGCTCGGTGGCTCAGCCTGTCATCCCAGCACTTTGGGAGGCCGAGGCGAGTGGATTGCCTGAGCCCACAGGTAAGAGACCAGCCCGGGCAACTCGGCAAGACCTCATCTCTGCAATAAATAAAACAAAATTAGCCGAGCATGGTAGCGTGCACCTGTAGTTCCGGCTACTTGGAAGGCTGAGGCGGAAGGATTGCTGGAGCAGGTTGATGCTGGGGTGGCTGTGAGCGTGCCACTGTACTCCAGCCTGGGCGATGGAGTGAGACTCCAACTCAAAAAGAGAAAAAAAAGACTACTACTGCAAAAAGTTGTCAGAAGACTCAATGAGGTAGAATCTAAAGAAAACACAGTATCTTGAAGTATGGGAGATGCTTTTAAGAGAGTAGAGGGCCAGGCGTGATGGCTCACACCTGTAATCCCAGCACTTTGGGAGGCTGAGATGGGAGGATTGCTTGAATTCAGGAGTTTGAGACCAGCCTGGTCAACACAGCATGACCTCATCTCTACAAAAAAAACTAGCCAAATGTGGAGGTGCACACCTGTCATCCCAGCTACTTGGGAGTCTGAGGCAAAAGGATCGCCTGAGTCTAGAAGGTCAAGGCTGAGGTGAGCCATAATCAATGCCACAGCACTCCAACTTGAGCAACAGAGGGAAACCCTGACTTAAAAAAAAGAAAAGAGAGAGAGAGAGAGAGAGAGAGAGAGGAAGTTTAACGTAGCGGCTCAGTACTCTGGCTCTGAAAGACAGCCTTGGTTCAAATCCCACATCACCGCTTACATGCTTTGGGACCTTTGGCAAAATACTCTTGCCCAAATTCTGAGCTTCAGTTTCTTCATCTGTAGACTGAAGATGACTGCACCTGCCTCATAGAGTCACTATGAGAATTAAATTAGATTCTGTATATAACTCTCAGCGTCAAGTACATGGTGAGAGCTCATAATGATTAACTGCTATTATTAAGTATGTTTGTAACGGACTTGGTGTCTCTTGAGGCTGCAGTCATTCAGCTGGTTACACACCTAGTGAGAGCCGCCTCCCAGCCGCTTTCCCCACTGCTCCCAGATCTGCCCTCGGGAACCCCTGAGAGCCCTTTCACGTGACCTGACAGCAAACCTGACCCCAATCTTGGTCTCCAGCAAGGGCAAGGCAGGAGTGAAATTCCTTCACTGTCACTGATGTGGTTATTATTATGGATAATAATGATATTAACCATAATGGTAAACAGTACGATATTTCTCTAAAACTCCACCTTTCACCAAGCGCTGTCATGTCCATGGTCTGATTTAAGCCTTGCAAGATTCCTGTGGGAGAGGCCAGACTCGGGCCATTCTACAAATGAGGCCACAGAGGCAGTGAACTTCCCCGAGGAAGTACATTCAATTATCGAAAGCGCCATCCTTACTCTCCTCACTCCATCACTGTCTGGTGTCTTATGCTCCCGGCATCCCTGTAGCTCCAAAGGTCACTCTAACTACTAAGATGACCAGAGGAGCACCAGGATGGCAGGGAAGAGACGGTGAGGAGGAAGGGGCGGAAAGACACTCACACAACCTGTGTAACAGCCTCTATCCACGCGGGCCCGGCCCCAGCCTCAGCCCCATCATCTCTCTGCCCGCTTTCCTCTGCTCTTACCTCACTTACCATCTCCAACCTCACTGGCGTGGGCCTCTGCCAAGAATATTCTTCTTTCTCCCAAATATCTGACTGGCTTCCTCCCTCGCTTCCTACAGGTCTTGACAAAAAAAAAAAAAAAAAGGCAGCTTCTAGTGGCCATCTCATTGAAAATGTCAAAGTCTCATCAACATTTTATGTCTTCCTTTCTTGCCTTACCTTTTTTTTTTCTTTTGAGTCAGGGGTCTCACTTTGTTGCCCAAGCTGGAGAGCAGTGGCATGATCACAACACACCACAGCCTCGACCTTCTGGGCTCAGGCGATCCTTCCACCTCAAACTCCCAAGTAGCTGGGACTATAGGCGCACATCACCACGCCTGGCTAATTGGTTTATTTTTTATTTTTGTAGAGATGAGGTCTCACCATGTTGCCCAGGCTGGTCTCAAACTCCTGGGCGCAAGCCATACTCTGCCTGGGCCTCCCAAAGTGCTGGGATTGCAAGTGTGAGCCACTGTGTCCAGCCATAATCACTTATTTATCATGTTAATTGTCTCTCTCTCCTATTGACATACAAGTTCCATGAAGGCAGGGATTTTTGTCGTTTGCACTCTACTGTATTCCAAGTGCCTGGAACAGTACCTGCAGGAGGCACTTGATGAATATTTGCTGGATGAATGAATGAATGAGCACCTACCATATGCTAGGTCATGCCTAGAATACATTCTCTCAATCGTGGTATGTCCATTCACAGTCACAACTGAAAAAAAAAATCATGGTAATTCCCCAAGAAAGAAACCAGTGTACTAATTTTTCAGATGTAGAGAATGAATGGATGAATATTCATGAGGTTGTGCAACTTCCTCCAGGTCACTGGCTAATAGCCAGGGACAGGGGAGGGGGGAGGACTGGAATTCAACCCCTGTCCAGCTGATTCCAAAGTCAGAGATTCACCTCCCCTCCCCTCCCCCACCATGCTGTCTAATAACCAGGGCCCTTCTGACGGCTATCAAGCATTAAAACCTTCAGCAACAATGACCCCCTGTTCCTTACTTCTCCTGCCCATCCCTGCCCCTCCTCTCCCGAACTGCTAGAACTTTTACATGCTCCAAGTTGAGGGAAAAATAGAGGAGGTGGGGAAAGCAAGGGTCTGGAAAACTTGATGCTTATCAGCTGGGGTCACCTACCCTTCTTCCCAAGCTGACTATTGACGGACCCCACAAAACTGATGCTGCCATCCTATCTAAAAGAACCTCCCAGCCACCTCTGTCCTATAGCCTGTTCATTTTGTCATAACACTTACCACTTGAGATGGTGCTGTACGTTTGTTGTATATAGTCACCGCCCCTACTAGAATGTTGCGTTCTGCCAGGGCAGGGACCTAATCTAGCTTGTCACCATGGCACCTCCAGTACGTAGCACAGGCCTGGCACATGTGGGCACTCAATAAAGATGTGTTGAATGAATGAAGAGCTCTTACTTCATCCAAGCCCCTTATTGCACAGACAGGGAAACTAAGGCCCAGAAAGTGGGAGCAATTAGCTGGTACAAAACTTGGACCGAGGGTCCCAGGTCCCAGCCTCAGGAGCTCTCCACAGCACCAACAAATCTCCCTGGTTGCTGCTGAGAAAAAGACTGGCTTCACTGAGGGCAGGAAGGAGGGCGGAGGTCCCTGCTTCCATCATCTTTCCTGAGCTGACTCTGTTTGCAGATCCACATCAGAGCCTACCTGCATGACCTGGAACGGGCCAAGATGGGGCTCGGGGGCATGCCCGACAGGAACCACCTGGCCTGCGCCAAGGCTGACCTCGAGGAAGTGGTCAAGGTGTGCCCAGGCCTCAAGACCTACCTGGACATTAGCCAGGTAAGGCAGCCTCTTGGCTTGGTTGGCCAGTGGCTTAACAAGAACCTATTTACCCATGGCCAGGCTAGGCCTGGGTACTGAGGATGCACAGAGGAGGAAGGGGCACCCCCCTGTCCTGTCCTGCTAACAGTACCCACCTTCTCCAGCTGTGGTAAGGATTAAATAAGATAATGTGTGTACAGCGTTTAGAACAGGGCCTGGCTCTTTCTTTGTTTTGGTGTGGGGGGGTTGAGTTGGAGTCTCACTCCGTCGTCCAGGCTGGAATGCAGTGGCATGCTCACAGCCACCCCAGCATCAACCTGCTGGGCTCAGGCAAACCTTCTGCCTTAGCTTTCCAAGTAGCTGGAAATACAGGCACGTGCTACACGCCTGGCTAACTTTTTTTAAAACTTATTGTTGAGATGAGGGTTCACCAAGTTTCCCAGGCTGGTCTCGAACCCATGGGCTCAGGCAATCCTCTCACCTCGGCCTCCCAAAGTGCTGGCATTACAGCCTTGAGCCACAGGGCCTGGCTCTTTCTAAGCACTTACTTGGATGAAGTAAGAGCGCCTCATTCATTCATAAAGTGTGGACCGTTATTCTTTGTCTAGTAGACTTTTATTCCCCATCTGTGCTCAGAGAATGATTACCAGGAGGTGGCTACACCATAATTTTACATAGGAGAAAAATGAGGTACAGAGATCGACTCACTCGAGGTTATGTGGATAATATGAGCAGGGGCTGGAACTGGAATCCGAGCACTCTTTTTTCCTAAGGGGCAGGAATAAAATGTGTGATGCATACTGTCAGCGGAGGGAGGGTGAGGATGAATGAATGCACGGCCTCTCCTTAAGAGTGGGTGTGGGGAGGGAACGAGCAGCAGGAGGGCTCACCCGCCGCCCCCGCCCCAGGTCTACTACTACATGGGCGTGGACGCGGTGCAGGAGCTGCTGGCGGTGGACGAGGCGGCGCTGGACCAGGCGCTGGTCTTCCTGGCCAAGGCCGGCGAGTCGGAGCTGGGCGCCACGCTGCCCGAGCTGCAGCTGCTGCGGGGCAAGTGCCTGCGCATCAAGGGCGAGGAGGCCAACGCGGCGGCCTGCTTCAAGCGCGCCGTGGAGCTGGACG